TTCAGTCTGGGGGAGGTAGTTGCTGACATTGTGTTTGTTTTTCTTAAGAGTCAGTTGTGTCAAAACGTTTTTGAGTCAAAACCTGTTGGAGATCATGATGCTTTTCTTGAAATTATTGTGCTGACCTTTCACCTAAGTGACCACTGCCGCAGATTCAGTCTAGATCCGACTAATGAAAAATCCAAAGGCTGACCAGTTGACTAGAGGCGTCCATGTTTCCAACAGAATCCACTAACCTGAGCTAAGTACTGAACTTCACTTTTAACTCGCTGATGTGACTAATGCCTTAGAGCTTGATTCCTCGTTCGTACTTGATCAATGAAAGCCTGTGTGAAATTTAATATTGGTGTTTCTCCCCTTGTGACGAGCTGAGAAAAAGAAAAAAAGAAAGAAAAAGGGCAAAAAGATTGAGATGATTTTCGCTTAGGAGTGAAGGGCTAGGAATGTTTCCAATGATCCCATTATTTCACTTCTAAGTTGGAATGATCACACAAAGGAAGGAAGTGAGGGGTAGGAATGTTTCCCATGACCCCACTATTCGCTGAAAACCTTTGATACAAGGTAAGGGGACAACTTGGAGACTTGGTGGCAAACACCATCAGTACTCGCAGCTTTACCCTTATCGAGTATATGCCATAAAAAATGATGATGAGTGTGCGAAAAGAATAAGTCTGGGGGAGAGAAAAGTACCAAAGTTTGTATGGCTGATTTGCTTGAGTATAGTACGGGAAAGAATCTAGAAGGTTCTGGGTATTGGAATCATCAGTGAGATCCAGCGATGAGGGTTTATGGACCATGTTGTGGAATTTTGGACTTAATCTGGAAAGCTGTGAATGTCTACGGAGAAGTACATGGTGGTTTGATTTGGAATGATGAAGCAGTAGTTGAGTTGCAGGGTGATCAGTCAAAAGCGATGTTCCAATGAAAGGTTGAGTCTCTGTGTTTTCAAACTTCTTTCTCTTGTTTGGTGTTATGTTTGCTTGAGGGCAAGCAAATGCTAAGTCTGGGGGAGTTGATATATCATGGTTTTTATGGTTTTTAACCATGGTATAAGTCTTATTTATAGAGTCTTTTTAGTGTCTTTCGAGTCTTTTGGAGTCTTTTCAGGTCATAGGTACGTTTGGAGCTTAACTGGAGACTTTGGAGCACTTTGGAGCTTAATCAGAATCAAATTTGTCAAGTATGGATTTTGTGCTTTAGTGACGCTCGACACCATGGAGAGTGACGCGCGACACTTGTTGCAGAAATAAGGAAAAGGCGATTTTGTCTCCTATTTGAAGAAGGAGTTGGGCCCAAAAGTCTCCAATAATTACAAGGAAGCCCAAAACGTATTTTTAAGTTATAAATAGGGTTTTTAGCCACCATATATCGAACCTTAGATTTTCTTAGAGAGAGTTTTTGTTTTTGAGAGTTTTTGGGGAGACAAGTCTGAAACTCTGTTCCGGAGAGAGAGAAGATTTCGAACCCCTGTTTATTTATCTATTTACTGTTTTCTGCAATCTATTCATTGATGCTTATTGCTTCAATCTCCATGTCTGAGTAGTTTGCTTGTTAGGTTTAGAGTTCTCATAAAGGATTTCATTGGATGTTAGATTGATTGGTTAGTTAGGGTTCATAATCTATTTAGTTCTTCACCATAGGTTGTTCTTAAAGCTAATTCTGGACTGGCCACCTAGCACTTAGATCTTAAGTTGCTTAATTGACACGGAAGTGTAATTGAATAACTGGAAAGAACCTAGGGTGAGCAAAGTAGCTATTCGCAAAGGAATTTGGTTTAGATACTTTGTGAACATATCGAACTTGAGCATTAAAGCTGGTTTAAATCTTTAGGGTTTGCAAAGGAATTTGGAATTCTAGGATTTTAACTTAGATAATTCTCACAACGGAAGTTGGTTAATTATAATTCTGTGATTCGAGTTCAAGAACCGTGCTTAAACCTGAACCCTGATTTATCGATTGTTCTGCATGCATTGATTTCCTGAGAAACTCCCTAAGCCTAATCTCCATTCATCTGAATCTTACAAACCGTTTTTATTGCTGCTTAGTCTAATTCTGTTGCATTGCTATTTATTTACAATATTTCTGCTTAGCGTAATTCAATCTCTATAAGGTTTATTGAGTGATCTCTTGTCTCTGTGGTTCGACCCCTACATACTACAACTGCACATCTGTGCTCTTGCAGAGTAGCTTAGGGATTAAACTTTGAGCAGATCAGTTTTACTTACAGTTTGCAGGTGCCTCTTACTGGAGAAGATGGAGACACACGGTGAAGAAGATGGAATATCGGGTTTCTTCTTTTTTTTTACGCTTGGTAGAAAGTCTTTTCTACTTGTTTTTTCTTTTTTTATTAATAAAACATTTTTAAAATTAATTTATTTATTAATTCGTAATTAAAGGGTATAATTGGATTAAATTTAAATTAAATATTAACCGGAAAAATTTTATTTAGAAAACATTAAGGGGACAAATTCTAATTCAATTAGCATTATAAAACTAATTCTCCCCTGATTGATTTTATTAATAAAAGCAAAAGGGGTTTTATTGGGAGTTGGATTTCTAAAAATTTTAGCTGATTTAAAAGAAATCATGAGATTTGTCCAATTTTTAAAAGTTTTATTGGATTTGTAAAACTTAAAGAGAGTTTTATGGATTTAAAAAATTTAGAAAATATTTTTAATATGATAGATTTTGAGAATCCAAAGGATATACAAAATTTTAGTTGATTTTGTAGTTAGATTTATGAAGATTTTAGTTGATTTTAAAAATCATGAGATTTATCAAATTTTTAAGAGTTTTGTTGGATTTGTAAAATTTAGAGAGAGTTCTATGAATTTAAGCAATCTATTAATAATTTTTTAATATGACAGATTTTGAGAATCCAAAGGATATAGGTAGTATTTTGAGAATCATGATTTATGAATTAAATTATAAAAAATCATTATGCCAATAACACTAGATTATAACATAATCATAGAATCATTAAAATGCAGACTTTTTGAATAACAATGGATTTTGATTAGATTATAAAAATCATCATATCAATAACAACTGATTTTTATAATCTCTAAATGAATAACAGAGGAGTCTATTAAGAATGTAAAAATCCACAAACCAATAACTATAGAATCTTAAACTGTAAAAATCTTTATAAATCAATTCTCCAATAACACCCCCATAGTATATATGTTGAGAACCATGATTTATGAATTAACTTGTAAAGAATCATTACGCCAATAACACTAGATTATAACAGAATCATAGAATCATTAATATGCAAACTTTTTGAATAATAGTGGATTTTAATTAGATTATAAAAATCATCATATTAATAACAACTGATTTTAATAATCTGTAAATGAATAACAGTAGAATATAGTAAGAATGTAAAAATCTACAAACCAATAACTATAAAATCTTAAACTCTAATAAATTTTATAAATCAATTCTCCAATAACACTCCCAAAAAGACAAGTCAAGCAAAAGAGGAAAACTAGGAGACGGTACAATGAATTGAGAGATAGGAAGAGACAAAACCAAAGTGATAATAACTTCTACTAATAAGTTGTATCGACTCTATTATTTTCCTTGATGTATGGGGCTAAAACCCATAAGAAAAATTTGGGACAATGTTTGACTGGGTGGGCTGAAATCGTTCTTTTCAGTAAAATAAAGTTCATAACCTAAAATTACTTTTTTCGAATAAAAATTTAAACCAATAGAAGTTGTTTCGATAAACGATAACCATAATGTCATATGCGAATGCTAGATGAGATACAACCAGCTGAGTGGCGTTTGGGTGAAAAGTTCCATTATTTGATGCTACTAATATCTTAAAACTATGAAAATCGTTCACCTAATGACCTCATATTATATATATAAGTGAAACATATTTTCCGATACTTTATAAAAAAATATCAATTTTATTTTAGTGTCCCTTTGTTTCATAATAAGTTATTTTAGCTAAAACAGTGAAGACGATATAAAATTATTTTTCATTAAAAGTATTATCTGAAATATAAATATAAAATAATTCAGGTAATTATAAAAAAAGACTAATTGGTCACATAGTATTCAATAAATATAACACTTGTATAGAAATATGAAAACACCTTAATTTTTAAAAAAATCTTTAAAATATTTATAATATGTATGTAACAGAGGGAGTATCTTATTTAAGAATTGCTTCAATTAATTTCTATTGTAAAAAGATTGATTTTAAATAAGATTTTTTTTACATGTTAAATAAGATTATTAATATGTACACGCTTATGTTTCTAACACTTATCTGCTTTCTGAATTTTTTTTTATTGGACCGTTACTATGCTTTGAAACTATATACTTTCCGCATACACATTTTTATCCCATGCAATCAGACTTAAAAAAAAATATGTTATTTGTTTCTATTAGAATTTTTTCTCTTGTCAAAATATTTTTAGATATCATCTCTTTAAATATAGGGGATGGGTTAAGGATATTAGAACATTAATTGGAGCCACAATACCAGAAATGGAAAAAAAGTCAAACCGAT